TCATTGATTCAAAGCTTTCTCAACTTCTTCTGACGATCGATTAAGGGTGTGGGTGTGGGTGTAGATCTGTTATTCATTCCCACCCACACCCACACCCGCACCCTAGTCCTACTCAGGTCACGTGAAAACTCGACTTTCGAATTTAAATTTTGCATGAACATGAAATTAATCCTTTGGACAAGTTGTAACTTTTCTAGTTCTTTTTTTTCCTATTCTGAGATATTGAATATTCGATTTTTTCCATATTAACGAATCTCGTTAAGAACTTCGTTTGCGCAAAGTTTAAAGTCGAAATTCTATTTTCTAGATGATTTGAGGCGAACTACATGTTTATATGCTGAAAGATTCAATAAAATTTCGATATGTGGAGGACGAAGATTGGGAATAATAACACTTCGACAGTCAACTTTTCTTATTCTCATCTGATGTTTATCCTTCGATAGATAGAAAAGTTCCTGATAAGATTTTATTTAAAAATTGATCTTGTCTTTTTAATATCTAAACTAAAAAGTAGGAAAAATTTTGATGATATCTTGAATAATGTTTGGTGACCCACATTATAGAAGAATTATATTGAACATCTGATTATATACTGCTTTTGCAGATTGTGACTGTCCAAAATGAGGAAAACAGCTTCGCGATGACACGTAACTTGAAGCGTTTTTTCTTCGTGGGCAACCATAGATCAGGATCACTAAATTCATATTTTAGAAAACTAAAATTTGTCAAAACCAGAACCTCTACTGTAAAGGCTTACAACAAATTGATCCTTCTTGTTTTAGATATTTAATAGAGAAAACAGTGAATTTCGAAAATACAGTTTATTAGAATTTCAGATCATTTTGTTTTGAAAATCTGTACTCATGAGTTATTTCTAATTCAAACTTTTTATAATATAAGCAGATGTTTGAAACAATCCCAAACTAAAATCAATACAAAACTTTCATGTAGCTCATTTTTTCTTTTGTTTTAGCTAAAAGTTATCCAACTCAAAACCTAACTTTATATCATGAAGTTAGTTCTACAGAATCCTCTATCTAATTACATATTCACATAGCAGAAAAAAAAGACTGAAATTCTATGGCACGATAAATTTACACAAATTATGAATGACGAAAATATTGATTTTGTTCTGTACAAACATCAATTAATTCAAGTTTAACTCAGCAATACATAAAGGAATAATTAGTATCAAGGCTTTTGTACTTTATGTTATCTTGATAACTTTAGAGATGATTATAGAATTCTACACAATTGTATGAATTGTTCATCTATTAAATTTCTATTTGGGCTTCAATAAATTTAGTTTTGAATTGCTTTAAAAGTAATTCAGTAGAAATCACTTTTACTTTCCTCATAGCTACGCCCATTGAACCAAAGAATAGTTCTTATTTCGTTCGTTTTTCCCATGATTTAATATATCACTACAGTCACAACAAAAAAAAAACCAGTCAGGATATTTGGTTACCATGCTATCTCATAAGCTGAACAAAACAAGCTTCAGATATTAATTATTCGAAATGTAATCAATATCAATAGATAGACAACAAGAAAGAATAAATAATATATTTGAAAGTTTTGACTTGATGATAAACGTATTCATCATTCAGTAAATGTCAATCCAGCTGAGATAAATAATCTTTCTATTGAAGCACTAGTCTTTATGAGCACACGCATTTCCAATTTCTTCCAGTTGTTCAATGAGTTGGAATTTTCTGAATGTATTAGTTTAATTATAAGAAATTCTCATTTGTTTGAAATACTCACTTGTCTTGATGATACACTCATTTGTTTACTTGAATCGAAACTATTCGACCATTCATCTTCTAATAAATGAATTGGACAATTAATGTTTTCTTGTTAAATGTTTATTAGGTTCTGGATTGAATAAAAAAGCTCCACTTACTCGTTTCTTTGCTTTATTACGACCACTAAAATTTAATCATATATAGACATATTTATTCGATATTAATTAATTTGACAAAAAAGGAAAATTTTAAAACGTCTAAATGCTAAATTTAATAAATTTAGACGACTAGTTGAACGTCAATCTGAATCAATGTCTGAATTTTCAAGTAATGTTTGAATAAGTGAAGACTAAAATAAAAATTTTACACTATGAGAATCGCTTTACCTAACTGGTAAAGTACATAGATTTTCTTATTTCCATGATGAAGAGTGCTATTCGATAATGTTGAAATCGATGATAATGAAGATATGTGTACGACCATCAATTGAACAAAGTATTCCAAATTGTTCAATGTCTTGAATTAGAAAAATTCTATTTAAATAAAAATAGAGATTGTGTCAGTACAACTTGTTAAGGACTAAAATGTAGAACCCACATGTGGTCTTTAGACTCGTTATACTCCTCACAAATACTTGAAGTGAAAAATTTTTACCAGATTATAAATGAATATATGAGAAATCAAATTTTACCCGTTTTTGAAGTTAATATGATTTTCATATTTTTTTCATCTTTGACTTTCTTTACTTTTTTCGGATGAGTTTCTTTCACCATTTCCTGTAAAGAATTTTGGTATGGGTTTTTGTCTAGAGAAAACTACTCTACTGTTGAATCGTATCACATCTAAAAACTTCTTCAATATTCGTTTTCTTTTTATTTATACATTTAAAGTCATACAATATTTAACTATATAACCTTTAGTGCCAGTTGAGATAACTGCTTTTCTCATAGTTCTCGATAGAGTTCGTTGAGTATGGGTCTGATCTCTCATAGTTACTACTTTTAAAGTAAAAGTCTATAATGACCGCATTCATAAATGATCACCATCAGTATGCCATGAGAAATAGATTTTAATGAAAATATGATGAGTAAGAATTCAGCAAACGTCTAAATTTTTGTGTCGCGTGTCTCTAAAACTTACACTTATTCTATTTTTCTTCGAAAAGAAAGACGTAATGTGAGTTCCACAAAAAACAAAAACAGTCAATAATTTTATCATCAACTGCTAATGATGATGGATTAATATCAAATAAACTTTGAATATTCCCCAATTGAATAAGTGGACTATATTTTCATATCGAATGCTTTTCACATATATTCAAGACAATCGGAGAAAAAACGAGTCAAATGTAATTGTATTGTTGTTAATTCTTGTTGAAGTTCAATAACTTGAAATTTTTCTATATAATCATGATGTGCAGCAAGAAACTCTGACTAAAATTTAACGACAATTATCAATAATATGAACAATATTAAACACTGATAAATGTTTTTCCGTTTTTCTACTTTGTTCATTTAATTTTCTTTTGCTATTTCACGTAATTTACCCAAATGAATCAATTAATAATTGATAATCAATATGTTTTATTGATGTATATTTAAGTAAACGTTGAATAAGTCGTATCATTAAATACAGCTCAATATTGTTCACCTAATTCAAAGTTATGTTCACGAATCTATTCAAAATAACTTTTATTTTTTACATTATCTATTCAATGACATAAAATTACCTTAAGAAAACAAAATAAAAGTTATATTAAAAATAATATTGGAATTGATTATAAAAAAATAGTTCATTCGAAAATGCAAGTAACGATCTATATAGATGAGTTAATGTAATACAAGAAAATTAAACTAGTCCATCACTGTTGCAATTAAAATCCAATAAGTGTCCGACTTCGATCGGATCACAAGAATACAATATGAATGATTAGTTCAGTACGGGGCTGTCAGATCTTCCGAATTTTGGTACTTTTTCCAAACTCTTTCGAATTTTGAATATTTTTTCGAGACCTGTTATTTCTCTAGATTCGAGATTTAATGACTTTGGTTATAACTTCTAATTTAACTTTCATTAGCAATTCTTGCGCTGTCGTTGTTCTACTGTAATCATTCCATAATACAATTTTGAAAGTATTTATAATGTAAGATCGTTTGAATTTAAAATCTATCCGAACTCAATGAATACTTTGTATTGTTTAAAAAAAATGTCATTTGAATCAATAACTTCTTTGGCATGGACTGAACTTTAAGTGTAGAAGTGTTTTTTTACATGAAAATTGTCTCTTGTTATCCTGAATTAAATTTAGCCATGAATGATGAAGATGATGATTCAGATGTGAATTTAAGTGAGATTGAAGAAAGAAATAAGTATATCGGCAACAATTTTTGCACAAAATGTTGATAGAGCAACACATATGTCCATAAAAAAGGTGGTATATATATTTGATAGTAAAACAACTGCTTTCCGAACTTTTTCCGAAGTAGAATATAAAAAATTCCGAATTTTTTCGAATTTTGGTTAAAACATTTCGATTTCTAACTTTTCGATCTGGTAACCCTGGTTTAGTACGAGAAGAATTCCATAATAGTCTATGAAAATTGAAATACGTCAAAGATATCAAATCTCGTTACACTCGATAATTTTTTTCTAATGATTTTATTCGACTGATAAACGAGCAGAAAAAAATTTATGCATTCTTTTTGAAAACTATTGTTTGATTGTTGAGAAGCGAGTTTGTATTCAGACTTCGCTATCGTATCGAACAATCAAATAATATTTATAGAAAAAATATACATAGATTTTTTTCTTAAGTATATGACGAATAAAATCTTGGAAAAATATCGAGTCTGTTGATACTTAATCATTTTATGATGTTTTTTTTTGCAAATATAGTTTTTCCGATAATAACATTGTTCAAGTCTATTAACAACAGAATATTTTCACAAGTAACTCAACAGACGCTATAATTTTTTTTTAACTAGTAAAATATATTTCATTAAATAATTATCTTATTTGAATAATATTTAATAACATTGTAAAATTAATATTAATTTTCATTCGATTTCTCTTATATTCCATTCCAATTAAATACTAATTATATATGTTAATATTTTGTTCTCTATAACAATATTGTCATCTAATACATACTCATTTTAATAGTTGTATGGAATAATAAATCAAGTACTGGACTATTAATCATATGTTAATAATGAAAATAATAATAAGGAAGAAATCTGACAATGTTGTTGTTTAATTATTAGTTAAATTAATTGTACACATGGATTTATCAACATTATTCATTAAACATAAAATTCTCCAAATCACTAAAAACATTATTATATATACATTTTTTAATCTTTTTTCTTTATTGATTAATACATACTTGTACATGAATAACAAATTGTTGATCTTGATGTCGATATAAATAAATTTTTATTCAAAAGAAGAATATATCTTGTTTCATTCTTTTCTGTTGTGATAAATCCACCTAATAAAGAAAGATTTTTTCAAACGTCTGTAATGGATTATTTTGATCTAAAATTTTGTTGATATTTAGATATGTTCATCCAAAAAGAATATTATTGTAAAAATTTAAGTGTTTAAAAACTTCCATTCTTTTGTTTTTTTCGACAGTCTATGAAATTGAAACAACAGTTTTTAACATTAAGTATGTCTACGTAATAGTTCGTCTAATGTAATATATTTTGTATTTTATCATAACAAATAAAACAATTATATATAAATGTTGTTACTGATTATCATTAATAAAAATAAACAAAACAATTTCATTTTCATTCCAAATGAGATACAATCTAAAAAAATTCATAAATAAATCATTATGTGTGTTAATGTTAACAAGAGAGAAAGGAAAGAAAAAAGAAATATATGTGAAGCGAGGAATTTTCTTTTTTTTTTTGTCTTTCTCTCGTCCATAAATCATTGTTCATGTTGTTATCATTGACAATCAATGATCAACATGTACAATGAAATATGTATATCATTTTCGACGAGAGAAAAAAGTGATTTTTCAAGGTATAAATACGAATGATTTTCTATGTAAAATCATTCAAATTTTTGAATCAAATAATAATAATTTTTCTTTTCTGTTTTAGATTGGCTTCAACCAAACAATAGGAAACAATTCAACAACAAACCAGACAATAAAATAAAATGTAGGTATCAGTTTTAATTTTTTTTAATTTTACGATCATAAGGATGGCGGGGTAAGGCCTCTTTTGATCTTTTTATTATTTTTTATTTTTATTTTAGGGAATAAACAATGAAGAAAAAGATAACATTAGAGTAAGTCATCTCATTCTATTCGATTAAATAACATTGATTAAATTTTTTTTTCTGTTCCTTTCAGCTATCAATATCATCGCGTCATCAACATCAGACACGGTAAGTAATTTTTTTTTTTGAGATGAGAATAGGTAGTGAGATTGAGGGGTTAGGGTGAGACTAAGAAAAGTGAGTGTTAGTAGAGAGTGGGTGAGTCATGTCCATTGAGGTTAGGTTCTTCTTATTTACAGGACTTCCGGGCAGTCCCTAAAAGCCCGCCAGGAATCGTCTTGGTGTCCGTGGCACACGACCAGGCTTATTCAGATTCATTGACATATCTCTCGCGGGCAGGGTATGAATGATATGAGTCTGTCCTGTGCGTGCATGAGCGTTACGCTCGCCACGACTCCACCAGGATGGTTCCTAGTCGCGCGCGCGAATAGAATAGACATTCATTTCATCAATTCAATACGATTTATTTGAAACGAAAGGAACGCAAAAAAAATCTATCACGACGAGTCTATTCGATTGAAAAACGTTGAACACGAGAATTCCCATAATCGACGACATAGAGATTGCCATGTTGATCGAAGGACAAACCTCGGAGATGCTGGAACTGATATGCTCCTTCTCCTTCACCATTTCCACCCACAATGACAGTGCCCTGTTTCGCTCCTTTAGGCCAACGCATCACTCGGTGATTGAACGAGTCTGCCACATAGATGGTACCCAATGTATCGACGAACAGTCCTCTAAGATGCGACAATTGTGTCAGAGCATTCCCTTGACCTTGACCTCCAGCGACGACGATTCCTTCTTTTGCATCTTTATTCCATTTCATTACACGATGATTTTTGTTGTCTGACACGTAGACAGTCTGTTGTTGATCGACAAAGATGTAGGTCGGAAAGTTGAGTTGATTGAGACCAGTACCTTGGCCATTGCCACCAGCCACAATAGTTCCATTCTTGTCTCCTATTTGATATCGTCTTACTTCATGTTTATCGAAATCAGAGATGTAGAGATATCTCTGATCATCCATGGCCAATCCCCAGCAACGGATGTTGTCGATGAGGATTTCTCCTTGAGTTGTACCATTACGACGAGGCCATCGTACGACTCGTCGATTGTCCCGGTCACAAATAATGAGACTATCCGTCTCTTTGTCGATCAACACATCGGTTGGACCATTCAATTGATCCAATCGATTTCCTTGGCCATGACCACCAGCTACTACTTGTCCATTCGTATCACCCATCTTCCATTGGATGATACGATGATTGTAGCAGTCAGCAATGACAATCGTTTGATCATCATCAACGAAGAGACCCCAAGGGCAGCGGAGTTGGTTGGTAGCACTGCCGTTTCCATGACCTCCAGCAACAGTCACGCCGTTCTGTTTCCATCGGGAATTGGCTGGAATATTTGGAATTACTACAATGAACGAAAAAGAAAAGGAATCGTCGTTGTCGAAGGGAGCTCGTCTCTCGTGAGAGCAAGCGCTACAAATATGACATTCATCTTTGAGAATGTTCATTCCACAGATAAAAATTTAGAAGTCTTTTCCTAGTTTCTTATGAGAAAAAAGGATTTGGTAACGATTCTTACGTCTATGTTACTTCTAGTTGTTGCCAAGATCTTTTTGATCATAAAAATAACACCTTGAGATTGTTGTAAGAAGGCTCTCCAAGAAAGAGTAATACTAATTCCATGTAAGTTTTTGATAGAAAAACATAAGGATCTGAGGATTTTATTCAGAATTACAAGAATTCAGAATCTTTTTGGCAGAATGATCATTTATATAAACATCAGAGAAGATTCTATCTGCATCTTGTGAGAAGAATATCGAATCGTTGAACAACAAAATATCAAACCTAATTCCTATGTTTTTTAGGAAACCTTAAGGATACATGATTTTCTGTATGATGAATGTAGATCTGCCGAAGAATCTTCTAAGTATTTGCATAGAGAATGCCGGTGAAATTTTATAAGGCTTTTGGTAAGTTATGTGAAGCTGTTCGAAGAACAACCGTGATGTACTCTGAGTAGGATCATGAGAAGGCTTGGATACAGGCGAAACTGAACAAAATGGAGAGGATTCCATGCGAATCTATGTAATCTGAGAGGACTTCTACTTTTGCAAATGCTGAAAAGATGGATATCAATCCGAACGGAGCTCTCCAGTGACAAACATTGGGATCTATAGATTTTATAGGCTTCGAAAAGAAAGTATTCTAAAATGGTATTTTTAACTTTTGATGAACACCATCTTCAAACCATTGTATAAGGGTCCTCGAAGAGAATCTTGATGACTAAATAAGATACTTTGTCAAAATCTGAAAATCTAAAAATAATGAGTATCTTCTATGAGGATCATGTTATAATCCTTATGTAGTACTTATTCTGAGAAGTCTTCTGTAAGCTCGCATGTTATGGATATGTTCAGGAGGATCTGAAGAGTAAGTATTTTGAAATGGTTGATATCAGAGATCGGCAATTCCAACTCCAAAGTTGATGCTTTTTCTCATCAGAGTGAAAATGGAGTAGGAACAGGACAGAATGGAGGTGCCTATCTTTAAATTTTATGAGAAAGTTTATAAAGCAATAAATTAATATGCTACTAATTTATATCAATCGTAGATTTAATTATGTTCAAAAACTTATGTGTATTTAAGAGTATTTTGGCAGAAGTTCAGCTTTGTAAAATCCGACTGGAATTGAAGTTAAATCGGAGTTGGAGTAGGATTTTATGTAAAAGGAGTGGAGTGGTGTAGGGTTGGAGCGGAACACACTGTAGTTGAAATTGATGTGGAGTTTTAGAAAATAGGACTGGAGTTATGTGGAGTTCGAGCGGAACATAGTGTAGTTACCCATCTCTGCCTAGTACACAAGTGTCGATCCTAATCAATATCCATGACGCCTTCTCTGGAATATTGGGAATTACTACAATGAACAAAAAAGAAAGGAAATCGTCGTTGTCGAAGAGATTCCATCTCTCGTGGGAGCAGGCGCTACAAATAAGACATTCATCTTTCAGAATGCTCATTCCACAGATAAAAATTCAGAAGTCTTTTCCTAGTTTTCTATGAGAAAAAAGGATTTGATAACGATTCTTACATGTATGTCACTTTTAGTTTTTGCCAAGATCTTTTTGACCTAAAAGATAATACCTTGAGATTGCTGTAAGGAGATCTGTCCGATAAAGAATAATGCTAATTCCATGTAAGCTTTTGATAGAAAAACGTAGAGATCTGAGGATTTTATTCGGAATTGCGAGAACGCCGAATCTTTTTGTCGAATGATCATTTACATGAACATCAGACAAGAAGAACTATGTGAAACTCCTAAACTGAAAAAATCCTGAGAAGATTCTATTTGCATCTTGTTATGAAGATGTCAAATCTAATCTCTGTTGTTAAAGAACTTTGAGGATGCTTTTCACGTCATAGGACAATTCAGGCAGATCTATAGAATTTGATCGTATATATAAAGAAGAATGTTTATCTATCTGTCTGTTCTTTATGCATTTCCTCACTGTACGAGCGAATGCAATCAAACTTTCCAGGAATTCTCCTCTCATCCAAGAGAAGGTAAACACCTTTTTTTTCAAAAAGAATTAATCTTTCGCCCACAAAAGGCATACCTATGTTGCTGACCAATCAGATTGCAGTATTCGGTACTATAGAAGTACTATTGAGTAGCACTTCGTAAACACACAGAAAAACATGGAACTACAGGTTTTCAAATCTTTTTGATTGGCCAAAAACCAATAGGAATCGAGTTTTTGAGAAAACGAATATCATGGGTGACCCATGCCATACACAAATCCAGCTTTTAGAGTAGTTGATTCCTGGAGGTCGTGTGAGGCAGGGATTTCGAATAAACAGCGTATGACGCTGAAAATTTGTGCGTCATAGATATCGACTCCTTAAGTTGTTAAAGGATCGGTCCCATGAAAATCTTTCTGTCTATCTTTCTTTGGAATCAATTGGAATTCAATGTGATTTCAGTAGTACAAAATGTGACGTTCTAGATCAATTAGATGTGTCGTTGTGCTTAGTTTCGATCAAAGCGGATTTTTCTTGCCACACTGTCGAAGAATCGATTGTCCACGTGAGCTCCTCACTAGAAACATAACTATACAGCTCTGGAACCAGGAACGTGACCAAGTACGATCGGAGTCGATCGAGATGGGTATACACTCTTATAAATGCTTAGTCAAGATAAAAAGTTGATAGAACTCATAAGTTTCATCAAGTTCTTCTTGATCTAGACGTGTAAGGACGAAGAATCCTTCACTTCTGATCAATTTTTCAATGTCAGTATTTCATATCCGCCGAGAGCGAGAGTAGCCGTGACTGGGACTTAAAGTACGTCCAAGAACCATAACTAGGACCGGAACAAAAAATAGGGTCTTATGCGTGTCTACTGTCTACTGATTAGGTTTTCTGACATGTTCTCGAGCGTAATAGGAGTTTTGCTTGCACATATTAAGACTGAACTTTTCCGGACAACGCCGGGTACTTCCGCTAGTGACTTATAATTTTGAAATGCTAAGAAGAGAAATACTAATCCAATCGAAGCTCTCCATAGGATAAAATATGGATATGTAGATTTTATACGTAATTTAGAATGCGTGGATCTTAATTAGATAGTCAGAATTTGTTTTTGATAGATGCATAATTGAATTCTTTACAAACTTGTATTTATCTTCATTTAAAACAGCATAGAAATGCGAAAAACATTTCAGCATGTAAATAAACGATTGGATTATTAAAATGTACTTTTTACAGACTTCAAGTTCTTGAAATCGAACAAAAAGAAACTCATAAAAATGTGTTCTTTTTTCAATTTTAATATCTCCATTATAAAATTTATATTCATATTTGCTTCTTTGATAGGAAAATTGTATCTTGAACATATTGTAAAATTTTTCTTATGACTCATTGCAAAAAAAGAGTTAGTAAATCGTATGACTGTCTCAACTTTGATGCATAATCTATTTATTCGTCTCTTTCTGAGTCTGTTATATCACTATTCGATTTGTTTCTGTTTATAACAATGCTGAACTTTAAAATATTCAATCGTATATTGTTTCTTTTTTCTCATTTTTGATGATTCTCAAATAAATCAGCAACAGATACTTAATATGATAAGAATAAAAGAAAATAAAGCATCTTGGAAATTTTTATGATCGCACACGTATGAGAAACATGAAACGAAAAAAAATATAACGATAATTATGCTATATCGCAAGTAGATTAGAATCAAATTTAAACTTTAACAAATAGATAATAGAAATCGGCATCAATTCGTACATATAAAGAAAGAAATAGTCGTACATCTTAAAGAATATGCAGTTTCTCTATGATTGTTAAAGAATGACTTGTCATTCTGCTGAAATCAATGAGAGCAGTCGATAAATAATAATTTTCACATCAGGTATGTTCATTATAAACACAAGTAATTGAATTAAAGATTCTGCGTCTAAATGAATTGAATTGCTTTACGGAGAATGAGAAAAAACGAGTGATTGTTCAACATAATAACAGTCGTTCAGAAGAATACGCATAAAAATATGTTTTCTTAGTTAATATTTCCACGTTAATATGAGTTCTAGCCTTTTAATATGGAATGATGGTCGTGAAGTTTGCGCTGAAAAAGGGTAAAAATGCGTCAATCTATAAAAATTGTTCTCTATTTTAACAGGTAAAAGAAGTTGTTAGAGTGGTGTTTTAATGGAATTTTATCGCATTTTTTTTTGAAGAGTCTGCTTTGACTGAGTTGTTACTATCTTGTAACCAATGACTTATCACTTTGATATTGATTTGTAAGAACGTATATCAAATGGAAAAAATTTTTAATTTTTAAATTTTATTTACATTCGTACAGATCAATATCAAAGTAACAAGTCATTTATTACAAAATGGTGACAAGACTGAATTCTTCTAAGAACTCATCTAAATGGTACTACAAGCAATCCAGATCTATGGAAAATCTGATTGTTCTGTCTAGGCAAACATTAAATTCAAAGATCGAACGTTTAATAATATGTAAAAATATACGATTAAGAGTCTTCCACCTTTAAAAAAGCTGATCTAACTAATGCACATTTTCGAAAGTAATATATATATCGTATAAAGATTATTTCATAGATTTCGGACCATTTTGCTTCTTTTTGTATTTTCCAAATATATGAAGTTGGACAGACATAGAAAAAATATATTTATAACATGTGACCTATCATCCGAAATTGAT